TCAGTCTATCTCTGAAATGCTTGGATTTTTAAATTACTTTAAACCAGTACAACTTTAAGTTTTCAGTTGGGAATAAATTTGATGATACTCATCATAGGTGTTTAATTTTTAGGCGGTGCCTCAATGCTGCAGACCCTCTGTTTGATACCAGAATTCAGATCTGAATAAGGAGCGTGTCCCAGCCTTCACGTGGAACCTCGGTGATAGTCCCCTAGACTTTTAGGGACAGTTAGTCATCACCTTTTGTTATTCACCACTATATTCTTCTGGATCTTCTCTTCTTAAGACTCACTTTCTCATTTCTTAACTCCTCCTTCACTCCCTCCTTACTTAACTGCTACCTTTCTCAACAGGTGACTTCACCTTTTGCTTCTCAGAGAAAGTGGAACCTCAGATGGGAACTCGCCCACCAACCCCTCCAGGTGGCAACTGCAGTCTCTCTCACCTCCTTCCCTCTGATTGCTTCCTGATGATTGCCAATTGATTCCTTTTTCTTTTCTTCTTGATCTCTCTAAAATTTTGCCCGCTTTATTCATTTTTTAGAGAACCAGCGCTTGAGTTTTTGGATTGCCTATATTGTTTTGTTTTTCATTTCACGCATCTATTTTTACTGTTATGATTTCCTTCCTTCTTGTTTCTTTAACATCTTTTATCTTTTCTGGACATTTTTATTGAACACAGAACTCAATTATTTTTTATATCCTTTGTTTTTTCTAAGTAAGTTCTTTGAATAAATGTTACACTAATTGGAGGACACCCACTTCACAAAGCCCACAGCACCATCTGGTTCTGTGCGAGCCTGTGCCAGTGGATGGTGAACAGGACACACATCTCAACACTGGCTCCCATCCTGTCATTCTACACCCATTATGCTAAAATTCTTTTTTTCTTTTTTTTTTTTAACTGTAGATGACCCAAAGGGAGGTGGGAGGTTGCTGTATGAATGAGCCCACGTGAAATCTGAGCTGAAGAGGAGGCTCCCTCCTGAGAGGTTAGAAGAATGTGGAAACATCCATCTTACTAGTTACTTGAAAATGTATAACTTTTTCCTGCTATAAATCTCATTTTAATTTTGTGCCTGCATGAATTCATAAATATGATATGTGTACTAACAGCCTTACACGTTCAGACTCTGAAAATGAAGAAACAGTCCTGCCAGGACTGAAAAAATCTTGTTAATAAAGAAGTATTATTATTGCAGATTCTTATATGTCTTACATTTCCTACAAATCTTTCATGTATTGCCTATCCAAACCCAGGCATTGAAGAAAAAATTAAAGCAATAGTGAATGAAAAACAGTTTATCTCTTAAGAACTGCATTACAAATGATTCTTTAGAAGTTCTTCTCTTCCCTTCCCTTATAATTTCTTTCTTATGTTGCATTGTTTAAGCAATAGGCCAAATTGCTTTTAATTTCCCTCATTTAAAAATATAATGTGATTTGTTTTTAACAGACATTTACAAATAATCAATCAAACAAACCAATGTAAGTAAGGCAGTAAGACCATCTCGGTCCACTCCGAATTACAAAAAGAGCGTAAAGAATTAAGCGCCGACCTGTCAAGAATACTGAAACAGAAACCTTTCATTAAAGTACTCATTCTGCTGACTCCAGAAGCCTATCTTCCCCTAAGCTGACCTGCCCTTAGGCTTCTGGGAGTAAAGCGTTCCCAGCCCAGCAAAGTGAGGTCCAGTCAAAGGGCATTGTTCGGTTCAGGGGCAGAAGTTAATGTGCGCCTTAAGGCAGAGGCAAACCTCGGTGAAGGCAGGAGTGAGGGCCCGCCACAGGTGATGGATTGCTGGGACAGATTAGGGGCCTAGAGGCAGGCAGACACCTGAACACTTCTCGAAGTTGCAGTCAAAATTGTACACACACTCCCCTCGCCCCATCTTTCAGTCTTGTTAAGCCCAGGCCCTGTGGGAGGAACCCAGAAGCATGATCCAGTTCCTGTCTTCAAAGCCTTCCTGTCTTTTGGAAGCTAGGTCATGATTTTGGTCCGGGGAGAGCAGAGGTGGCAGGGATAGGTGGCGCGGAAAAGGCCCAGCCATCACTGGTTGATAAGGAATCACCCATCTGACAGAGGTGTAGACATACATAGCTAGCCTCTCATCCAGGTGTGGCCAGCAGAGGCGTCAGCCTGGACTCTTTAGGGCATTGTTTGTAGTATTACTATTGTGCTCATGTTCAAAGTGAGAAACTCACCAGACCTTACTGGCTTCATATCCCGTCATGTCTCTGACTTTTCCTCGGCACCCAGCCCTCCAGCACAGTGCACTCTGTCCAGCAACCGTTGTTCCCAGGGCTGTGTGCCATTCATTTTTGTACCTGCAGGGTCCAGCTGAAGTCTGGCTCTGCGGATGGAGAAGTCAGGAGACTAGGGGTCCTCTAAAGGGAGGGAGAGTGTCTGGAAGACTTAGCGAACAATTATGTTCACTCATACACTCACTCATGCATTAATTCATTCAGTTTCTACCACCTGGGTGTCTACAATATGCCTGGCACTGGGGATGTTCCTGTGAAATAAAGCAGGTGGCTCCTCCCCACATAGACCCCAGGAGAGGACGTACGCAACTCCGGGGCCTTCCGGGGGTTGTCAGGCAGCACATCCAGAGGCCGCAGGGGCAGAACTTACCCTGAGATCTCTTTTAGGACCTGTACCTGAAGCAGGGAAGTCAGGGACAAGCGGTAGGTAGGTTCTTGCTGGTATATCAGTATTATCTGTGGCTTCTGGGAAACAAGCCACTTAATCTGTTTGAGCCTCAGTTTCCATATCAGTAAAATGGGATAATAATACTTTCTTCCTTGTGTGGTTGTGAAGGCTTAATGAGATGATGTCCATTACATTTACCAGAGTCCTTGTCCCCTTGATGTTCAGTCAGTGTCGGGTGAAGGGGTGATTCTTGGGGATAGAGAAAGCTTCAAAGACCCATCAGTTCACTTTGCTCTATATAAAGATGGGCTACAAATCTGATTTTTTTGCGGGGTGAAAATCTAATTTAACATACTATTAATTTACCCCCTGTGAACTGGATGAAACGAAGAGCATTTCACAATCTCTGTGTTCAGTCCCAGACGATAGTTCACCAGACAGGCCAGTCAGTTTACTGCAGGTGCTAGGCAATTAGCCTTGAGGGATGTTGTCTAGCAAATTTTACATTAAAAGAGAAAGAATTTCCCAAACTTTAACTAATGGATGCAGGGATGCACCAAAGGAATCCATACATAGGAGCTTTGGAGAAGGGCCAGCTGTGGTCACATTAGACGCTGTCTTCTGTTACCATCAGATGACGGTACTTCTAATAAGAGGGCAGGTTTTATGTTAAGATTTCTAAATGATGCTGTTGGGGAAGGAAACAGATCACACTTGCTCCAGCCCAGGGCTACGTTCAACTCCTGGCCTAAATCACAAGGAAGTTATAAAGCTGAGAAAGCAAACCACTACTCCCCGAGTTACGGAAGTCTGGAATACACAGTGAAGCGTGCTTAAAGATGCAGTGTGGTAATTGTATGTTTACAAATGATGGCTTATTGACTTGATCACAAAGTTACTGTTTTGAAAAAAAAAAAAGTTACTGTTTTAGAGCCAAATGGCCACAGAGCAGCCTGGTAATTGCACATTGATCTCTGTTGCTCCCACTGGAAGGAGGCTCTGAGAGGGCAGCAGTGGCCCAGGGTGCTCACTGCAGGGGTTAAAACAAAGCCAGATACATGGCTGAAACTCAGAAAACTTACTGAATGCATCACAGTTTATTAGGCTATGTGACTCGAGCCCGCCTGCATTCTATGTTTGCAAGTGCTCCTCTCTATCTGAAGTCAGATCTTGGATACAAATGTGATATTCTCACGATATTGTTTGAAAATGTTACGCCTTTGAGTATCATGGGTAGGTGCTGGCACCTAAGGCTTGTCTCTTGAGGATGCTGGCTGTGACATGGCTTTATGATCGTGTGTGTGTGTGTGTGTGTGTGTGCACGCACGTGCAGATTTGTGCAGGGGAAGGTGCACTTCTGCGAACAGGTCATAGAAAGATTGTGTGCCTACCAGGGACCCTTTTCAGTTCTCATCAGATCAGCTTCTGAAGACCCCTCAACCCTTTGACTCAGCTCTTTTACCAGCAAAGTCACAATGAACTTGTCTCTTGTTTCACTGAAAAGTTTTAATAATCACTGTATGGCCATTGACCTGAATAAAAACTGCCATTTAATTATAGTGGATACACTTAGGAAATTAAAGTTTAAAAGTTGAGCATGAACATCCCAGGGCAGCACCTTGTGTTCATCATAAAAATGGACACACTCAATGTTTAATCAATATGTGAATTCATATCTTGAAATCCAGTACTCACTTTTTAAACCTCTAGTTACCACACTCTTCAAATACTTATGACAAATTTTTGAGCCTTCATCACGAATGGCTGTCCTTTGCACAGGGACTCCTCGATTAGTAAGTTTCCAGGGGAGGTAACATTACAATTTACTTTCCTATTATGCTCTTTGGTTTTTCAATCTGAAAATTCCACTACCATTTGGCAGTGGAGAGAATTCCCAATCATCTGGTACTCTGGCAGTTTGATCTTTCCCCTCTGAAGTTGGAAACACATCATTAACCTATTCGGTGCCACCAGAAATGTTAATTCAAACCAAGAACTGAGAACTTCAGTGATACTCCGTTGTGTGCTTGTAACGTCATACCAGGGCACTCCTTTTGTAAAGGCTTACAGTTAGTTTTAAAACAACTTGGAATGTTCAAGAGAAAAGCCAGAGATTACAGCACCCATCACTGATACACAAAAGGCACAGTATTTCGCTATTTCAGAAACCAAAGAGACAGAGGTGAAGACCAGGCCTGGGCTCCGCGATGCGGCTCCAAGTCCCAGAGAGAGGATTCTCCCGGCCTCCTGGTGGCATTTCCTCCATCTGACCAACAGGAGCTGGTCCTTCGGTCTCCCATATGCAGCCTGCTTTTGAAACTAAGATCCAATTCGCTGAGTCCTGGCCAGAAGAAAATATTTGATTATAAACCAATTACGAGCTGCTTTGTGCTTTTAACACTTCGAATTTAGCAGTTTCTTTCCGCTGGGAAAATATTCCTTTGGGATAATGAGAAGTGGTTCTAAAGCTGATTGCACCAGGGCCCCGGGGGCATTCTGGCCCCCTCCCCCCAACCCCACCACGAGAAAACACATCCAGACACATGCACTGTCGCAGAGGAGGCATGGATTCTGGTTTCCAAATACCCTGCGCTGCTAGAATTACTTTAAACTATGCGTTTCTCACGGACATTCCATCTACTTGGTTATACCATTACCTACTAAAGGGAGAAAGCTTGAAAGGATGAACACATTTTTAAACACCAAGAAAAGACTTTTAGTCAAACAAACTAAAAACTGAAAGATCGTTTTGAAACTTTTTTCCCTCTATTTTAACAACAACATGAAAACATGGTTGGAAGTAAAAAAAAAAAAAAAAGGCAGCTTTGTACCAATTCCTAGCAGTCCTGCAGCCATACTATACACTTTCATATACATCTTTATCAGCCAATTTTCTCAAATCTTCTTTAGTTGTAAATTGTACATAGTACTTTCCCAATGCTGTCAAACTTACTTTATAAAGTTCTTTTTCTCCAAGTTTCTTGCAAATGCAAAATCTAAACTGAAAACGTTGGGAAGTGGTGGAGGAGTCTTTTAATGTATGAAACAGCATGTACATTCAAGTTACAGTACGTCGATGTTTATTTTTAGTATTTTAGTTTGTTAAGTAGGCCTGAGATAAAATTCTTTCCTTCGTAAGGTAAAGATTTTCTTAAATTGTATTACGTTCTGGGAGTGTTTCCCCTACAGAGATTTTGGCTTGCTTGTGTAAGTTTGGCAGGGCAACATGGTATTGCTACCACAGAGCTAGCACGTTGCTGGCCTTCCTGCAGTCGGCAGCAGAGAGATGCAATGCCAAGTGGTTTGCAACTTTCTGCCCCAGAAAAGTTCAGTGAAATACA